TGTGTGTGTGTTTTGTTGTGTTGTTGCGTAGGGCTTCAGACAGCAGGCCCTGGCTGTCTCCACCGACCCTGAACACAAGTTTGAGCTCGCTCTGCAGCTGGGGGAGCTCAAGACGGCCTACCAACTGGCCCTGGAGGCAGAGGTCAGAGCAGGAGCAGCTTCTGTGGCTGTCTCCACTTTCATTTTCAGATCAGTCGGCTGGTTTGTTCAAGTATATGATCCCTAACATTTAAGTTTGTCAGGTTGTATAATATTACAGGGCATTAACCTGCATATCTAAATTAGTGCATAATTGATGTTATTGTAGAGTTTTGACTTTAATATTTATTCCAGTCTTGTACATTTTTCTTTCAGGGTGTTAACCACAATATTTGTGAAGTCAGGCTGTTTTCTTTACTGGGAAGCACGTTGGCTCATTGATTTGTTGTTTTAAATGTGCTATATGCACATCGGTGACTTAACATGAGCTTGTGAGGCTGTCCTCAGGCACCGTGCTGCTTTATGCTAAATGCTAAGACAATGTCAACATCAGTAAACATTCAGCACGTGTCAGGTTTAGCATGCGCACCATGTCCGGTTAATGTGGTAGAACGCTAACTCAACACAAAGAACATATAAAGCTTAGTCAGAATCCATAGTATGAACACATTTTGACATGAGTATGGTTCTAGATTAAAGCGGGAGCCGTGAATACATGAATTTACTTGCATCAGAAAAGTAAAAATGTGCAAGAGGTCAATATGCTGAATATGGAGACTTCATCACCTGGAAAAACATATTACATTAATCATTATTAATACCTTCAGTTCCTAATGATTTTCTTTAATCAGCAGCTGTGTAATATGCAGGATAACATTTATAGCATCAGATATTTTCTATCTCTAAGTGGCGCCCCAGTTTAGCAGCAGCTTGCCGGTGTATTGTTGTTGAGATCGGTGCTTTTCATCCCGTGATAATCCTCTCTCCCGTCTCTTTGGCACCCCGACATGCGGGGACTTCAGTCAGAGCAGAAATGGAAGCAGCTGGCTGAGCTCGCCACTACAAAGTGCCAGTTTAGCTTGGCTCAAGAGTGTTTGCACCAAGCTCAGGATTACGGAGGATTATTGCTGCTGGCCACCACCTCGGGCAACGCAGACATGGTGGGCAAACTGGCAGAGGGAGCAGAGAGGGACGGGAAGACCAACGTGGCCTTTCTTACCTACTTCATGCAGGGGAGGTGAGTGTCTGGGATGGAGAGGACGGGAAGGAGCTGCTTTTATTTACTGTGTTCATCGTATTTGTTTTGTGTTTGTGTAGACTGGACAAATGTCTGGACCTTCTTATCAAAACTGATCGACTGCCAGAGGCTGCATTCTTGGCAAGAACATACATGCCCAGCCAAGTCCCAAGGTGAAGAGGTTTCTAATGAGTGCATCACATACAGAATGTCTGAGTGTTTACTGGCTGTGTGCATACATGGATCTCACATCCTTGTGTGTTCTGCAGAACCTGTGCATGCACCACTTTGTAAGAAGTCCAAGTCACAATCAGTGGAATAATGATGCTTTTCCTGACAGTTTTCATTAAAGGGATTATCTCTGCTGCACTGTGAGTCACTGGCGAGCTGCGTATGCTTCTCTCCTTCCAGGGTGGTGAAGCTGTGGAAAGACAGCCTGTCCAAGGTCAACCAGAAAGCAGCAGATGCTCTGGCTGACCCCACCCAGTACAGCAACCTGTTCCCTGGCCTCCAGCAAGCCCTGCTGGCTGAACAGTACCTGAAGGAGACTCATGTCAGGGTCAGACCCGCTGCAGAATACCCAATCGTCACGGTCAGTGGGAGAGTCAGAGGAACTTAAACAGACTGAGAAGGGATTTCACTCTAAACTAGACACTGAACTCAGTTCATTGTTGCATAAGTTGGAAAATTGTCCCACTTTGAGCATCAGTACAATATTAAAGTATTGAAGTCACGCTGTGTCTGTTTCTCTGTTATTCAGCCAAACGAGGATCGCAACGTTCTGGAGGAATCTGCTGGTTTCATGCTCACAGGAGACATCGCTGTGCCAGAGGTGAGGACCACAACCTGCATCTCCACATAGCCTCCCTCAGACATGGCAGTCATACATGTTGCTCTCATGTCCAAATAAATGAGTCACTTTTACCTGTAAGTCCAGCCTGTAAATTCACAGAAGTCCTACATGGAGGTACTGTCCTGCCTCCCTCCATTCCTCTGAATGTAAAGAGAAACCGTCACACAATAATAGCTGTAATCACACCGTCCGACCCTCCCTATAATTTCAACTTAATGTCCGCCCTGAGTCCTAAATTCCCGTCTTCTCATTCTTATGTGCACCTCCAGACATTAGGCAGCTAATAAATGATGAAACTGATGAGAAGACTCAGTAATGGATTCGCTGTGAGAAGTACGAGTGGTGTTCTTTGTGCTCAGAATGAAAAATAGCTTTTAAAGTCCTTCACCGATTCAGCTTGTGCAAGAGCTGAGAACACTTGTCCAATATAATTCTTTCCAACTGTTCTCTGCACTGCCCCTCTCCTCTCTCACACTCTGTGCTTCTGCGTGTTCTTTCTGTAAAATGTCCCGTCTTGTTTTATTAAACCCACTGCATACATTTACATAAGAACAAAAAAAAAAACTTGTGTCTGAATGACAAAAGGCCACAACGTTGACAGATAGAAACAGCAAGGTTGTGCATCTCTTGAGTGAAAATGGGTCCTGATTTCTTGAAATACGCCGACACTGAATCTGAATAGAAACAGATAATGGAAGATTTTTCTGTGGTTGCGAGAGGCTGAACTTAACCCTCATGTGTTTTTTTTTTTGTACAGAAAACGGTGGAGAGCATGAGTGAAACCCTCGTTGTATCAGCAGTGACAGAAATTGCACATTCAGAAGCAGCAGTGGTGGAGGAGCTCATTCCACTAAACCAGGAGTCCACTGACCCTGTTTCAGTACCACAAGAAGCATCTGTTCCAACAGCAGCAGCCGCTCTTCCTGTCACTGCAACAGAAGAGCATGTTGAGCCACAACAAGCACAGCCTTGTGAGGTGGAAGCAGAGGAGGAGGAGGACGCCATGACTGAACCGGAGGCTTTAGTCTCTGCAGAGGAAGACATTTTGCAGGAGCCCGTCATTGAGATTCCTGCTGCAGAGCCAGAGGTGGTCCAATTCAGTCCTGAGGAAGACGACGCATCATCCGCTGAGATCGACGTTCAGGAAACATCTCCGTCAACAGAAGCTCTACCTGCCGTCGGTGTTCCTGAAACAGAAACCATCATGTCAACACAAGAAGCACCCGGTGAGCCAGCGGCAGCAGAAGAGGATCTCCTGGTTAGCACAGATGATGCTCTGATCGCACCAGAATCATTTGCAACGAGTGAAGTGACCAGTAACGACAACCTGGTAACAGATTTGATCTCCTCAGAAGTTCCACCCCTGATAGACATCGCAGCAGCAGAAGAGACTCCTGGCGCTGAGGAACTGGCTCCAGAAGCATCACAGGTAGCAGTCGAAGAGCTCATCTCGTTTGAAACCACTGACAGTCCGGCGCTGGATGAACCTGTTCCGGTCCAAACTTTTTCAGAGTTGGCCCTTGATCCACTGCTGGACTCACTTGAAGATACGGTACCAGTGTTGAAGCCGCTTCCAACACAAGAATTAGTGCAAGAGGAACAAACCGCAGCACTCCCGGTGAAGCCGGAGGGCAAGTCGGAGTCTGCGATTCCTCCACAGGCTGAGCCAGAGGTTTCATCCCCCGCAGCAGCTCCTGCAGAAGAGGAAGAGGAGGCAGGTCCTGAGGGATCTGAGGAAGCAGCAGAGGACCTGGAGGGAGAGATGAATGACGAGGTACGCAGCCTGTGGCAAAACTTCACTAATATGTGCATGAATGTTATTCTAGAACTGCAAATGCCTTTAACGCAAAATCACATCTCCACCTGCAGGCCCTGGATGATCTGGATCTGGACAATTTTGACCTGGAAGACATCGACACCTCAGATGTCAACCTAGATGAGGATTTCCTGGTTGATTAGAAAAAGCACAGTCTTCAGCAAGCCATTTTCCTAAGTGACCAAATAAGAGAAAGGGCCATCACTCATGTCGACACGCCACGCTGCCTGTTAACGAACAAGCATCCTCCTCCTCGTTTGTGGGCCAAAGTGGTCATTTATAATAAGAACAGGGATTCCCACGTTCATGCTACTGCAGGAAAACTTGTACAAATGACACTTCAAACACTGACCATCCTGAAGAGGTCAGGCTGCATTTAAGCCCCATCTAAACCCATTCAGTAGTAAAAGCAAACAAGGAACAAACAGGGATTACTGCAGGCTGTTCCTACTGACCTGTTTTCATTTTGTATTTTCACGTAAATAATTGGGGTTTGCCTGTAACTCATTCCTAAGTGGATTAAGCTCGACTCGGTGACAGCAACGACCACATTATTAAAACAAAAAGACTCCAGATACCTCATAGCACCACTGTTGATCAGGGTGTCGTCAAAGCCATTGAGCAGCATTTTATATGTGTCTATGCAGGGCAAATCCTCTGAATGCCACCATTTTTTAAAAATATATAATGTAAATTCCTAAATTTTTAACAAGCAGAAGTCGTACAAACCCCTCATTTGGTTCTATTCATGGCTTTTATTAGCTTTTTGTTGCATGTTTACCTCTCAAACCCGAGGTCAAAACCTAGTGCTGTTCCTAGATTAAATAAACTAAAACCTTGTTCCAGTTGCTTTTTTTGACTTTGTGTTTTCCTCCTTCTCCTTTTAAATAAATTTTAAAAAAACAACAACAACAAAGGATGCTACTGTGAATGTCTTTTGTTATCCAGGATTCCTTCAACAACATCACACTCGGGTACAAAGACTGTCTTTATTTTGTTATGTACATTATATAAGTTGACACATAAAGTTTGACTCACATGTAGACATTTCCTCTCCGTGAGAAATGATAAAACATTTCTCATCTTGAACCATTGTGCAAGATGTTTCCAGAGTTAATTCTTCAAACTGATGGCTGTGAAGCTTTCCTTTCAGTAAAGATGCACATTTCACTTTGGACCCGCTCAGGGAAAGAACAGAAGCTGTCATGTTTTACAAATGGGAGGCAATTTCCATTCTGTGCCTCTGGTTCTGGGTACCATTCCTCATTGTGGATGAATTTCTATACTTGTGCGTACGTGCGAGCCGGTCAGGCAGCAGAGCCCTCAGCGGCCGTCTGTTCGTACGCCTGCAGAGCCAGCTCGATGTAGCCCGACTTCTGGGACTCCTTCTGGGCGTAGATCTGCAGGGACGAGGGTCAGAGGTCAGCAAAATGGAGGAGAACAGATCAATCAAAATTACATTGAAGTTAGACAACAGTCGTACAGCATTAACAGCATCAGCAGCAGACTCACTAAAACACAACCAATCAACCGTGACTAAACGAGAGGCCTCGACTGAAGCAGACGGACACAAACCCGTGTCTCCAGCCGCTAACTGTTCACATTAAATGGTTGTCATTCTCAGTGTCCCTCCCCGCTGCTTCAAGGCCAACGGGCTGTGAGCACTAATAAGACCTGATGTATGCTGGGCTCGGCCCCGCGGTTCCCACGCTGGGGAAAAACCCAAACCTCTCACGCAGGAAACCTTAGATGAGACGGCCTCGACTCGACCTCTTAAGAGCTACGCTGACTCCCGATTGTCCGGGGAGCACGAATTATACGACCTGGTTCAAATGGCAACACATAATATACACACAGCAAAACTAACCGGGGCGTCACACAGAGCGATGACTCAGCAGATATCCTGAGTTGTGGCGGAGCTGTTCTCACCTTAAGCAGGTCGGTGTCAGCGGCCTGCTGGCTGGCAGCTTCCTGAGCTGACTCACTGTGGGGGTGGACCATGTGGAACAGAGACACGAGGCTAACGGCATCCTGAAACCTGGAAACACACACACACACGCTGAGGGCTTAGATCCAAACTCTTTGCCAGTGACTGGTGAAGCTCAGTGTAAAAACAGCACAAACAAAAACTCACAGCTGTCTCGTCAGCATGTCCACGACGAGCCCGTCCACCCTGCGAGCGTTGACCAGGTACCAGGTCATGCCTCCAAAGTGTCTGGTGGAGCGCAGCAGGTCATATTTGCCATGTTTGTCCAAGTCCTCATATGTGGCTGCATGGACCTGAACACCAGGCACATAAAACAAATATGATTCAACAGACCTCAAAGGGAGTTTCCTATTTGGTAGATCACAGTCTACACGCCACACAGAATGAAGGAAAGAATACACAGATTGTGACGGGGAAAATTTCACGGTTTAACAAGCTCTATACAACATACAGATCTCAGTGCAGTTTGTGATCGGGTCAGAATAACAGGAAGCTCAGCGTCAACTTACCCTGATGTACTCTGAGGAGTCTGGCTCAAACTGGACCAGACACAGGTCCAACACATCTTCATGACGGTCCTGGGAAAACACCGTCTAATACACAGACAGAGGTAGAACCAGGTAAAAAAAAGTGGAAGTGAAACGTTCATGATACTCGCTGCGCACAAACACACGTGTTCTTAGTTATCTGGCACAGTTTGACCTTTTCTCGGGACTACGTGGGTGTTCACAAACCTGACTTGACACCACATCCCGGCTCGCATTTCAGCTAAAACAGCTTCTAGCGCCATCTTTAAATTATATTACATGCTCACTACTTCTGGTTATGTTGTTCATGTCTTGAAAATATCACTTCCTGGTCACTGCCAGGAACCTGCACCAGCTACTTATCCCAGTTTTAAGAAAGCTGAATAAATCTGAGAGAGACGAGACACCGTAATGCTGTAGCATGTTAACGCTTTTTCTAAATGTGTGGTTGTTGTCTCTGATGTGTGCAAGTGTGGCATCGCCTCAAGGCTTATAGCAGTAATATATTGGTTACTAAGTGTATAAAACTGGCAATAAAACAACAGTAAAGATGATCTATATGTTGGCTTGCTGATGTCAAAGGAAGAAAATTACCAGTACAATTAATCACACTAATGGTGGCTCTGTTAATTGAAGTGCTGTGACAGTGAGCCATCTTTCACAATAAAGGGACGCTGGAATCGGCTGACACAAATGTGATATAGTCATAATTAACGCTATTAATTACACGTTTCAGTACAAAGGCAAGTCAAAGTATCTGCTGCCCCAGTTTCATGCTGCATTCTTGTCAGAGATTTTAAGCACACGATACAGTCGCAGCTTAAAGAGTCAGTATGTGTACAAACACTCTTGTTTCTGTCACAATTCAATGCAAGAAAGAAATAGAGGAGCTGATCAAAAGCTACCAAAATTAGGCCTTTTTTAACAGAGAAGCTAAAGTGTTCCTAATGGAGTGACTCCTGTGAAAATGTATATGACGAAAAACAAAGTAAAGGAAACAAAGACAAGCGAGCTGGAAGAAAGGACCATCTCCTACCTTGAGGTTCGCGTCTTTGAAGAGGACAGGTGGTGTGATCTTGCGTCCAGTCTTGGGGAAGTAGGCCTGAATAAGCCGGTCTCTCTCCTCCCAGGTCGCCTTCCTAAGAGTTCCATTAGGCTCCCGAACAACTATAAATCTCTCCTGAGGAAAAGAAAAACAGTATGTACAGTCTGTAAAGGTAAGGGGTAGGTGACAGTGATGTCCTAAACGGATTAACAATGCACAAAGATGAACTTTAGTAATCAAGGATTTGAATATTTAATTAACTTGAATTTTAATCTCTTGGTGATTCTGCCACAAAAAAACAGAAAGGCTGATGCCTCCAAAATATAATGTATAATAAAAACATCAGAGCATCAACCCATTAGCGATGCTGGGGCGTATATCAGGATGTAACCAGCATTAACCTGAGTTACACACTTGCACACAGAGCAAAGCAGCATACCCTGTGTGGGATTTCGTAGGTGATGTCTGTGAAAACATATTTGGCTGTGTCCATGCCATCGAGCATTTTATCCTCAGACAGCACATCACTGATGGGCTTCCTCTCCGGCAGGACGGGGGGCATCTGCAGCAGCTTCTTAGCTTGCTCTGCTGCGAGCTCAACAGCCTGGAAACACACACACACACACACACACACACACAGGATTGGATGAAACAGGTGTTACAGCGATGTGGGTGCGTGATTGAAAGGAGCCATTACAGTTCATCTACAGGGCACCTGCTCCAGTTGTTCGTCCGTCATGAGTTTATACGTGGGCGGCTTCAGCTCCTGCTTAATGGGTCGGAACACTTTCTGTAGATCCAGGCCTGTTATCCTGGTGAGGATGTCCTGCACAGCTGGATCCGTGAAGTGGGGCTTTGCATTGTCTGTGAGGGCTGCAGGGAAAGATACACGAGTTAATGGCTCAAACAAACAATGTACAATGGTCTGTACATATTCCTACGATTCTACAACTTCATTTAGCAGACACTTCTGAGAGTAGATGCAAAACAAGCAAGGATCTAGTCAGGAGAAAACAATCTGGAATTTTTTTTTTTGTTTTCAGTCTGTCAAGTGCAAAAGTGCTCAGTGAAGAAGAAGAAGAATATTTATATAAGCATTTATTGAAGAAAATTATAAGTTTAAGGTATATAAGGCTTCAGTTGTATAAAGTATACGACTTATTTCAGGCTGAGTAATATTGTTAGGAACACTTTAAGATTTACTCTGAAATGTAATGGTAACAGAGCTAGCTTCACATATTGTCCTACAAGTGTTAGGGTTAGGGTTAGGGTTGGGAATTAACAATCAACTGATCACAAAGTAAAATCACAGTTTGGAACAAGGTAAACAGTATATTGCAAAAACTGTTATATAGGATCTACATTAAACACCACAATTGACAATGGACTTTTTTTTTTTTTTACTATTATTATTATTATTATTATCTTTAACTATTGAACGTGCAGGACGTGGATGCTGCTCCTAAGCCATGAATGACTAATTTATTTGTTTACAGAAGGTGCTGTTATTTACTTTTTGGAATGATTTAATCTTATATTGTTATTACTTTACTTTATATTCAATTAAACAGACTCGCAGCTTAAGATAACTGCTTAGTATTTATGCTGTTAAAAATATTAATGGTGATGCATGTGGTCTAGCTAGTGCACACAAAAATAAGCAGATTTTTCCCAACAAGTCATTCAGCTGTACATCAAATGAAACCAAACTCTGAAGATACCTTACTCACAGGTAAACCCTGCAGAAGCACTACTTTTCCAAATTCATACAGCTCTGCATGCATCTGATATACAAACCAACCGTTCATATGATTATAGCTTAACTTTAGCAGTTACCTGGAATGCATTTTCTGTCCTCTACTTTTATCAAAGCAGGCTACTGAACAAGTGAGCAAAGTCATGACTGGGGATGCTGTGAATTCTATTTTTAGATTTCTACACACAGCTATTGTAATGCCGAACTGCTGGACATAATTTAATGGCTTGAAAAATGTATTAACCGTTTCTTTACAAGCTGTGTAACTGTGCCAATCCGTAAAACAAGTTTAATCTGCCAACATTTGTTATGGGTTTTGAACCGCACTGTAACGCTTGAGGCTAACGACACTAGCTACAAGGTCAGCGTCACAACCGAGTGATTAATTCAAATAAAATGATATTCACAGTGGCAAAAACATACCGTGGTCTTGTGTTTCACTACAAAACGTCCGGACGCTACATTTCATCAACACTTGCTTGCTTCTCTGCACATTTTTCACTCGTGAGTAGCTCCGGAATAAGCACCGTG